TGCTGCTGGAAATTTTATTGATGTCCAGTTTATTAGGGGTAATGAGATACCGGTCAGGGAGAGACCTACGCCGCTAGCTGTAGAGGCTATTGATGGTAGACCACTCACACAACCGCTTATAACCCACGAAACTGTCCCTATTACGATCTCCATTGGGGCCTCCCATAGGGAGGAGATGACGTTTCAGGTTATTACTTCTCCATCATGTCCTATCATATTAGGGTTTCCGTGGCTGAGTAAGCACAATCCCTATATTGACTGGGCTAATGGGGAGATATTAGAATGGGGTAAAGAGTGTATGGGGAGATGTATAAAACCTGTACTAAAGAGATTGGATACTATTGACCTTCCCACTACCACTCCCCAAACTCCTGGAGTTCCCATACAATACCGAGAACTTCAGGAGGTGTTTAACAAGGCTCAATCCGATGTATTGCCTCCCCACAGAGCATATTACTGTGCCATTAACCTGTTTCCAGGCGCTATGCCACCTAAGGGGGCAGTTTATGCCTTATCTCCCCAGGAGAGTAAGGAATACATCAAAGAATCCTTGAGCAAAGGGCACATAAGAAAGTCATCCTCACCAGCTGGTGCAGGATTCTTTTTTGTTGAGAAAAAGGGTGGTGAGTTACGCCCTTGCATAGACTACAGGGCACTTAATAAAATCACTGTAAAAAATGCATACCCTATTCCACTCATTTCCAAATTGTTCGATAGACTTCAGGGAGCTAAAGTATTTACTAAGCTTGACCTTAGGAGCGCTTACAATTTGGTTAGAATTAAAGAGAATCATGAGTGGAAGACGGCATTTAATACCCGTAGTGGACACTATGAATATCTGGTAATGCCATTTGGGTTATGCAACGCCCCGGCCGTATTCCAAGACTTTATAAATGATGTACTCAGGGAATTCATTTACTCATTTGTCTTGGTTTATTTGGACGATATTTTGGTGTATTCCCCTGATCTTCAAACTCACCACTCCCATGTGAAACAGGTTCTGCAGACGTTGTTGAAAAATAAACTTTATTGTAAATTAGAAAAGTGCATATTTGACCAGCCTGAAGTCCACTTTTTGGGTTACAACATCTCTGCATCGGGATTTCAAATGGATCCTAAAAAACTAGAGGCTGTACTACACTGGCCATTACCCTCTGGTTTAAAAGCCATTCAAAGGTTTATTGGTTTTGCCAACTATTACAGAAGATTCATCAAGGGATTTTCTTCTGTAATAGCCCCAATCACAAATATGACTCGCAAAGGGGTTAGTAGCACGGTATGGTCCAAAGAGGCTGTGAATGCTTTTGAGACTCTTAAACAAAGATTTGCCTCTGCGGACATACTAAAACATCCTGACACCAGTAAACCTTTTATATTGGAGGTTGATGCATCCGAGACAGGGGTAGGGGCTGTTCTCTCTCAGAGAGAAAGCCAGGGAACACCATTGCATCCTTGTGGCTACTTCTCCAGAAAGATGTCTCCTGCTGAGCGCAACTATGATATTGGCAATAGAGAACTGTTGGCCATTATTCTTGCCCTCAAGGAGTGGTGACATCTTTTGGAGGGTTCCAAGGACCCCCTGTTGATCATAACCAACCACAAAAATCTGGCATATATAGGGGATGCCAAACGTTTGTCTTCCAGACAGGCTAGATGGTCACTGTTCCTTTCACGTTTTAACTTTCTCATTACTTATAGACCTGGTTCTAAAAATACCAAGGCTGATGCCTTGTCCAGGCAATTTGATAATGAGTCAGCTCCGGAACAGATGACATCTCCTATTATTCCAGCAGAGTGTATTATTGCTACTACTGTCCTCTCACTGTCTTCTCCACTGCTTGGCACCATACTGGAGGCCCAGCCTCAGGCGCCCAGTGGTAAACCGTGTGATAAACTGTTCGTTCCCCTATGTGAAAGGGTTAATATCATGAAAGTGTTCCATGACAATATAACTGCTGGACACCCTGGCATCAATAAGTCCACTGCCGCGATCACTAGATCATTTTGGTGGGATTCACTCAGGAAAGATGTAAAGGAGTATGTGCAGGCATGTTCTGTGTGTGCAGTTTCTAAGGTGACTCATGCACTTCCTTTTGGCCTGTTGCAGCCTCTTCCTGTTCCTGAGATCCTATGGTCCCACCTATCCATGGACTTTATTGTTGAGCTTCCTAGCTCTGCTGGTTTCACTACTATTCTCATGGTTGTAGACCGATTTTCTAAGATGGCTCACTTCATTCCTCTCAAGAAGTTGCCATCTTCGCAAGATTTGGTCCTAATTTTCATACGTGAAATTGTCCGTTTGCATGGCATCCCCCACAATATTGTGTCTGATAGGGGCTCTCAGTTTGTGTCCAGGTTCTGGAGGGCGTTCAGTAAACAATTGGGGATTGATCTCTCCTTCTCCTCCTCCTACCATCCACAGACCAATGGTACAGCTGAGAGGGCTAATCAGTCATTAGAAGTTTATTTGCGTTGTTTTATTAATAGCACACAAGACAATTGGTCCGAACTACTCCCGTGGGCCGAGTTCGCTAGAAACAATGCTGTTCATGACTCCTCTGGGCACAGTCCATTTTTTGTCAATAATGGTAGGCATTCCTACGGTTCTCCCTGCGGTATTTTCTGATACTGCCATTCCTGCTCTGGATGAGCGTCTGGCCTCCATTCGGGATACCTGGGTTAAGGTTCAAACTGCTCTAGGGGCTGCTGCTGAACGCTTCAAACATTTTGCTGATAAGCGTAGGAGTGCCAACCCGGTGTACCAAGTGGGGGACCGGGTTTGGTTGTCATCTCGCAACATCAAGCTTAAGGTCCCTAGCATGAAGTTTGCCCCCAGATTCCTTGGTCCCTATAGAGTGCTTCGTAGGATCAATCCAGTGTCTTACTCTCTGGCTCTTCCTGCATCTTTAGGGATTCCCAACACTTTTCATGTGTCCTTACTCAAACCTCTTGTCTGCAATAGATATACTGTTCCTTGTGTTCCTCCCCCTCCGGTGGTGGTGGGTGGTCAGGAAGAGTATGAGGTATCTTCTATCGTGGATTCTAGGTTTTCTCGGGGCACTTTACAGTACTTGGTTGTTTGGAAAGGTTACGGTCCTGCTGATCGTTCTTGGGTTTCGGCTCCTGACCTGCATGCGGGCCGTAAGATCCGCGCTTTTCACGCTAAATTTCCTCTCAAGCCTGGTCCTGTCCGCCCGGTGGGCGTTCTTCAGGTGGGGGGTAATGTCACATATTCATCCGCTTATAGAAATGTGGTTAATGACATTTACTGTCCACACAGGAAAAGTTGTGCCGAGCAGCAACCTAATCCACAGAAGGGTTAATGCTGAGCAGTAATTGTGCAAATGAAACCTGGTGTCATGTATTCATCCGCTTAGAGAAAAGTGATTAATGACATTTACTGTCCACACAGGAAAAGTTGTGCCGAGCAGCAACCTAATCCACAGAAGGGTTAATGCTGAGCAGCAATTATGCAAATGAAACCTGGTAACTGACTTTGGGGTCAAAGGCCGGTTACAGCCTATCAGAACTAAAGGAGGGGTATTTAGGCCCAGTTCTCAGCCTGCTCAGTGCCCTGTCGTGGTTTCCCTTGTGGTTGTCTGAGAGCGCGTTCCTGTTTATAGTTTTCTACCTGGTTTTTGACTTTGACTTTGGCTTTGTTTATTGACTTTTCTATATTCTGGTATCCTGACTCCTGGCTTTCCTCATCGCTGTGCCCCTTTCTGTGTTCCCTGACCTCGGCTAGTATTTTTGACTATTCTTTGTACGTTAAATCCGGCCATTCTAAGGACCGGTAATACGTTACTTATTTGTCATCCGTGCTGTACAGTTCTACGTGCTGGATCAAACAGTAATCCTGACATTACCGCTCTGATGAGCCGTGTGTAGTGTGGTACCTTTTGTTGACATTCATGAACGGGAACATTTTATGGTACATTACATGACAGTTTCATGCGAGATTGTATGATTCATAATGGGTTACAGTGCAAAAACCTTTCCATTCAGTTGGGGGGTGTCTTATACCGCTCTGGTGAGTCGTGTTTAGAAGGGGATATATCACGTTCAGGCGGTTTGGGTATATCCATTACCGCCAGCCAGGTTCCTCGCTTAGTACGCGGGTCGGTGTTGTGGGGATGGAGGGTGTCGGGGGGGGGTTATTGGTGTCTCTGTATGCTTCGGTGGGATAGGCCTATGTGGAGCCTTCTGTGGCATAGTTTTAGTACAGCCCTAGGTGGGTTAAGGCAGAATACAATGTAAAGTAGGTGATCTGGGGTTTGGTGGGGCTTTGTCCCTGAGGCAGTTGAGCAAGCATAATGGTTGTGCTCTATATGTGGTCCTATCGGTTTGGAGCCTGGTGTGGGCTATTCTGGGACTCTGCCTCGGGGCACGTGGGTGGATCGGGGTCCCTTGTGTGACATGCGGTGGGGTAACGTGCAATAACATAAATAACAAGCAGTAACATAATTAACACGCAGTGACATTTGTTGCGGCCGGTGGGGTTTGCTATCTATCCCCTATGTGCGTGAATCGTGACTTATGATGGTCTTGTCCTTGCGATGCAGGCAAGGGCCACCGCTTAGGCTGTGGGCACGTTGGGAGTGAGCGTGGACCTCCCTTGCGGCTCGTGTTCTCCGTCGTGGTGGAGTTAGAGTCCGGTGGTGGGTAGCGCAAGGATATCCCCAGGTGAGCTGCGAAGTCCCACATGTCTGAAACCTGATGGAGGGTGGGTGTAAGTTTTTTCCCCCTTCTTCACCGTCAGCTTAAAGGGGTGTCCCCACATGTAGCGCCAACCGTTTTCGATCAGTGCCGTGGTAAGAGGCTTAAGCTCCCGGCGTTTCCTCAGCGTTGACGGTGCTACGTCTTAATAAAAGTGTATTTGTATTTGTAGTACGTTGGCAGGTGGTTTCTTGCCACGTGCATGAGCTGTTCTTTGACTGGGAAGTGCAGGTGTTTTGTTATTATGTCCCTTGGTGCATCGGGGGACGCAGGGCCCTATGTGCCTGCTCGATATATAGTTCTTGTTCTGGAGTGTTGGGTAGGGGGGAGTATGGCGTCTGGTAGGACTTATTCCGGTAGGCCCCGGATGCGTATGTTTTGTCTGCGGGATCTGTTATTGAGGTTTCTTCTTTGAGGCCTGCTATCTGCTTTTCCAGGGCTGCTGCAGTGTAAGCTTTGATATCTGCAAACGTCTCTCGCAGCATTGCCCGGTGGTCTTCTTTGGTAAAGGGGGTAGCGGAGTTCTTGTCGGTTTTGCTCCCCTTGGAGTCCGAGCCGGAGTCTACCTGATGGCTGCCCGTTGTCTTTGGCGCGAAACATCGTTGCCACCGACGGTGTGGAAACTTTTCTTTTTTTCGTCCCTCCCATCTATCAGGGTAGTGTGGAGGTTTTTAGGAGTCTGTGGGTGATTTTTGAGGGTGAGATGCACCCAGTTAGTAGCTGATGGACGTGGACTGTTTGCCTGGGGTGAGAGAGCTAAAGGCTTGTGCGTCTTACTCCATGGAAGGTTAGGCTCCGTCCCTACCTCTTGTTTTTGAGAGCTCAAAACTAGCTCTATTATAAACAGCGTACAGTGGTATAATCCCCACTTATGGGATACGTTAGGGAATGATGTAAGTAGATATCTTGTCAGATGGGGACCATATGTAATATAAAAAACAACAATAATGCTCACTGTGACACCCTGCTCCAGGGCCGCTATCAGGGCATGACAACCGCAACGGTTGTCATGGGCCCGGCGGTCCTGGGGGGCCCGGACTGCTCAGGTCGTCCGGGCCCCACATTCAGTGGGTACATACCGGGTCGCAGGGGGCCCTGCGACCCGGTATGTACCCACAGGGCCAGCCTCTTCTCCTGGGGGGCCCAGCAGCCGGTCACGTCAGGGCCCCCCAAGGCTGGCCCTGCTGACACCCGGCGGGCCGGCGCGCGAGGGAGCACTCTCTGTGTGCTTCCTCTTCAGCTCCCTCGCGCACCGTACTGATGCCGGAGCCGGAAGATGACGTCATCTTCCGGCTCCGGCATCAGTACGCGGCGCGCGAGGGAGCTGAAGAGGAAGCCCACAGAGAGTGCTCCCTCGCGCGCCGGCCTGCCCGCCCGCCGCCAGTGTCAGGGGGGGTAGGAGGAATGAAATTCGAGGGAGTGGGGGTTAGGAATGAAATGGGGAGGGGGAAGGAATGAAATGGGAGGGGGGAAGGAGAAGGAATGAAATTTGAGGCGAGGGGGAGGAAGGAATGAAATGGGAGGGGGGGAAGAAATGGAATTTGAGGGGGGAGAGGAATTAAATTTGAGGGAGGGGGGAGAGGGAATGAAATTTGAGGGGGGGAGAGGAATGAATTTGAGGGGGAGGGGAGAGGGAATTAAATTTGATGGAGGGGGGGGAGAGGAAGGAAATTTGAGGCAGGGAGAGAGGAAGGAAATTTGAGGGAGGGAGAGAGGAAGGAAATTTGAGGGAGGGAGAGAGGAAGGAAATTTGAGGACGGGGAGAGGAAGGAAATTTGAGGGACGTGGGAGAGGAAGGAAATTTGAGGGACGGGGGGAGAGGAAGGAAATTTGAGAGACGGGGAGAGGAAGGAAATTGGAGGGGGGAAGAAGGAAATTGGAGAGGGAGGGGGAGAAGAAGGAAATTGATGGGGGGGGAGGGGGAGAGATTGACATCCATCACATACAATGCACCCCTTGCACACAGAAAAACACACAATGCATTACACACAGATACACGTACACAAGCAATGCATCCCTTACACACAGCAACACACAATGCACCCCTTACACACACTCAATGCATCCCTTACAGACGCACACACTGCATCCCATACATACACAAACTCATCTTGCAGCCCTTACACAGATTCACACAATGCATTCCTTACACACATCAGGACATCCCCCACACACACACACACTCCACTCCCTGTGAACAAACTCATTGGTGGAACATGAAGGTGGACCATGGGACCCGGACATTGAGCTGTGTAAAGGGCCCTCAAAAAAATGGAGCTGCTTCCCATTCTCCCAGAACAGTGATTTTTGTGACCAGTTACAAACCGCCTCCAGAGAGCTTGTTGTACACCAGACCAGTGGAGCCAGATGGCAGCTAGAGCCCATCATCATCATCCTCATCTGGTTGTAAGTAGGCAATCTAGTATATTATTCGTGGCACTAATCTCTAATTTACCTCACATTAAAGGGACACTATAGTCCCCAGAACCACTGCAGCTTAATGTAGTTCTTCTGGTGTCTAGCCTGTCCCTGCAGGCCTTTTAATGTAAACACGGCGGCACTGCAGCACTGCTGTTAGTTAACATGGCAGATCACATGGGTGGGGCATTGTGATGTCACATGGGGGGGCGGCAAACTTTACTTTTGCCTAGGGCGGCAAAAATCCTTGCACCGGCCCTGTAGACACTGCATCCCTGTGGGCAGATTCGGGGGGGGCAGCACTTTGGGCGGACTCGGGTGCAGGCACCGGGGGGCCCAGACCTTGAGCTGTGTCAGGGGCCCCAACATTCCTGCTCAATTATAGTCCTTTAGTGTAGACTCCGCAAGAGGGGAGTATAAGAGGGAAGAAATTCCCTTATGTTAGGTGCGTATATACAAGTTCATTATACGTTTTAAATTCCTACCAGCATCCAGTGCAATTAGCTTCATTTAGTGCAAACTCCTCAAATATCGATATATATAAAAAATGTGAGATAAATCCCTTATAATAAAGCAAGTAAGTGCGTTCAACATTTAAAAATAAGTTGAGGAGTTTAAAGTGCATGTATGTGGCATGTAATATCAGTTTTCTTATACTTAAGAAGAGGAAGCAAAAAAAATGAGAAAAATCACAATACAATTCATAGCACAACATCTATTTCGTAAGAGTATCGCAATCTCTTTAGCAAAAACAAATATATTGTATATTTGGAAGGCATGTCCCTTTTGAAAAAATATACACTTTTTTCCCCCCAGAACAATTCATATTTTAGTGATTAGCCATTGCAAAATAAAAATCTTCCTATCATATTTAGTCATAATGGCTGCATTATTGTAAACCGGTCACTAGAGAGCGCTGTTTTCCCATGTTATGTGAGGTTGTGAGCAAAGACTGTTTTACAGAAGATGTGTTAAGTATTATCTGTAAATACATTTTTACATTTGCAAATAGGACCTGCTTTTTACTATTATACTTTATAACAAAACAAAAAATATACAAAAATAATATGGTGGTGTCTTAATTTCCATGAAAATGAACAACATTATTTTACATGTATTCCTCAAAGTATAATACTCGTGTATGGATATTGTAGTTATCCAAGTTTAACCCCTTAAGGATGTGTGACATGTCATGATTCCCTTTTATTCCAGAAGTTTGGTCCTTAAGGGGTTAAAGAACCCATTTTGTTTTTGTTAATCAGCATTCCCTTTTATTCCTAGTTTCAGACTGCTCTGACATATATGACAGTCATTAGAGGGCTCACTAATACATTTGGAGTCATTCTAAAAAACACATTAAAATTATTATGTAGCTAAAACTCCAAATGAGAAGCTCTTTGTAAATGAATATGAGATAAAGACATATGTATTAACAGACAGTGGCGTACACACAACCCATGGGGCCCAGGTGCGAAAACTGATCCGTGCCCCCACCCCCGCACGGGCTTGGGCCGCAACACATGGCGGAGGGCACCTGCGACCGTGGTATGTACGCCAGTGCATGCAGTTACACATACACTTAAAGGTCCCCTACAGACACCCAGATCACATTAGCTCAATGAAGTGGTCTGGGTGCGAGGTCCCGCTAGTTTTAACCCTGTAGCTGAAAACATAGCCGTTTCAGAGAAACTGCTATGTTTCACTGAGGGTTAATCCAGCCTCTAGTGGCTGTCTCATTGACAGCCGCTAGAGTAGCTTCCACGATTCTCACTGTGAAAATCACAGTGAGAAGACGCAGCCGCGACTCCGGTATGTACGCCACTGTTAACAGATGATTGCTTGGTATTAGCTGCACTTTACTAAGACAACACATAGTGTTCTGAAAGTGGTTTTTAAATTCTTATTTTGATCTAAAATGTGTTTTTGTTTTCCCTCATAATAAATATCACCAGTTTTCAAATAAAATATCATTTCATAAAACTGTAAAATTTATAGTAGTGGAAAATTCTGCCACTTTTTTTTGCCAGAAAAAGTGTCAAAATTCATAAATCAGTTACGTTTGTAAAACAAATGGCACATATTCGATATGATAGTTATGATGCACATAACCTGAGATATTGAATAAGTCAGCAAAAAGTAGATGGAAAAGTGGTGACAACACCCGAAAATGTGATCAGATGTTAGCTTTAAATACTTAGGTGGGCATCGGGAGAGTAGACCTCAGGTAGGGACTTACAATCCAATCACTCCCAAATGACCCTACCCGTAGCCAGTGGGTGGATCTATTAAATAGAACAAAATGGAATGGACAACGCAGTGTCCCCCATTATTTTAGAGGCCTCATCCCTATGAGATGGGACCTTTGTAGCAATTGGGCAGCAAAGGCTGCCAAATCGCTAGTTTATAGTTACAGTGCCTCTCACTGTTTACTAGATATGCCCCCAGTCTCAGCATGGAAGATGTGAGCACAACAGAAGTTTAAAACCTTCTTTATACGAATATCCGGGTCATACTGACCTCAATAGACTTTAATTTGTATTTAATTAGTTTTTCAAATGAGTCAATCTAGCAAGTGCTGGACAGCCAGCACATAGATAACCCTCGCACCTCTGAGGGTTTTTAAACTATTGTCCGCTGATTTCAAAATATATATTTTTTTATAAAGTATTTCTAAAATACATACCCTTATTTTAAGCATCAGGGCCTGGATTTTAACATTCCAGGTTTGGATATCAGCTGGATATATTCAGCCTGACTGAAATCCAAACAAAATTCAGGCTCATCCAGGCACCAAATGAATGCATTTTGTGGATAATTGACATTACATTTAGGCGAGCTCTCTCATTTCAAATCCCACTTCTTTTCAAATGTTTTTTATTATAGATAAATTTGTTTCCATAACAGTAAGAATAATGATTTAATATGAATATATGTAAATAACATATATAAAAAACAGAAAAACAAATAACCAGGGAATACCATTCATCCAATACAATATGTAATAATTAATGTTTTTTCAATAAAGTATATAGTCAGTTATAAAAAAATAAATAAAGATGCCAAATATGTTACGTGCAACATGGTGCTTAAATTAAGATCATATCAATAACTTTGTTATCTGGTCAGGTGAGGTTATACGTTATAATTTATATCAATTCTTGACATC